CATAACATTATGACTTTATTTTTATACGACTTTAATGTCGTAATATTATGACTTTATTCTCATAAATTTAAAAAAATAAAAAAATCTCGTGTGGCTCTAATACTCCATCGTAACGTAGTTTTACAGTAATGTTTTGTAAATGTAAAGGTACCAGATACATCACAACTTCATTTTAAGTTTAAAACACCAGTGTTTTTTTTTTACCACATGTAAACACACCAAGCACTTGTTAAAGAGGTGGTTCAGATSTTTTTGTAACGGTTCAAGCTGTTTTATAAACATTTTCATCAATTTTYCAATTAACAATGATGGAATTGGTTATTCTATGGTAAGTTCCTGTGCAGCGTGGAGCTCCTCAGGCTGGAACATTTTATGATTTCTGTTGTTAATCTTGAATATGTGAAGCTTACGGAGCCCGCGAGGGGACATGGGAGATTTTTTTTTTCCCTTTGTGTTCCCAAGCAAAAATATTGCGTTACCTCGCAATACTTTTGCGTTCCCTCACAAAAGTAGTTTATCACTGTTGTGYCTGCCGGTTTATTAGCAAACTCACATTAGCGAGTTAGCCTACTGCTTTAATTCAGCTTCAGAATGAAAATATCACACAACTACGCATGGAAGTATGTCATATGCCGATATTTTAACACAGTACAGCCACGCAACGTAAATGTCAATTTCACGAACTTGTGGCGACACATCCTATTTTGGTTAACTGGATATTTCAAAATAAAAGTCTGATTTAATTCAGTTCATATACAAAACAATCTTTTGCGTGGGAACGCAAGACAATATTGCGTGGGAACGCAAAAGTATTGCGTGGGAACGCAAAAGGAAAAAAAATCCCCCCCTTGTCCCCTCGCGGGCTCCGTAGAAGCTAACCAGGTTCACATGAATTGCTTTAACAGTTTTTAGATTGAAGTTTTTTCAAGATGTTAACAACCCATTTTGGGCTCAGCTTCATTTGGACTAGCTCTTAACTTGTGAATCCAATCAGAATTTAATTCTTTCTCCAAACTGAGGTCGTCCATAAAGCTCCTAATCTTCCCACAGAAGCCTACTTCRAAAGATTAAAATTATTCTTTTTGTTTTTATTCGTTTGGAGGCTGAGGACTTTTCCAGTTGCATGGGGGGAGGGGGAGTTAGGTGGGTACACCTGCACAAATTGTCTCTGTAAGGAGACAATCTGTCCATGTTGAATACACCAGGACAGGATGTGTCAGAGACATGTGGGACAGACATTCATGTACTCAGTTATCAGCTCAATGGGAAATTACCGACGAACCTAACATATTGGGATTGTGGGGAAAAGAGAAGTACTCCAATTAATTCTCAAAGAAAATCTAATTTACTTTGTTTTCAAAGCACCTAACACTTTAAAACACACCTACAGTAACAGTTAGACATGTTACACATTGAAACATGCCTGTTTTCTGAATTAGGTGAAATGCTCACAAAATATTACACCTCAACTTTAGCAGGTTGCACTCCAGAAACAGTCAGGCAACAGAACAAACTGTGAAAGACGTTTTACTTTTCAGCCCTGATGAGAGTTATAAAMGCACACGCAGATGGCTTTAAATAATAATAAATATGTTGTACATGGTTATAGTTTCACATCCTGTACTGTGCACTCAGTGTCAGAGTAAACATATCACAAATAGACGCTGCTTCTAAAACAATTTCTTTGTGTTCTGCAGTCCTGCTGTCACTTCTGCAACAACCTCAGCTCAAAGTTTATTTTCTTTAAACTGATTTAAAGTTCAGACAGAAAATATGAGGAAGTTCCTTTAAAATAGCATTCTGTACCTGAAACTAAATTTCACACTGTGTGCAAAAGCAGAACAAAMTGCTAGTTTAGAATGTCTTGTGTTGTGCACTTATCTATTTTAGTTTTATGTTAGTAAGAAGTGACAAAGTTTAGACTTGAAAAATTTATATGAGTAACGTTTTGAAAAATCCAACTACTTGACATCAATCTTAGTTTAAAGCTCAGTCAAGTTTCTCCTSAGAAATAAGTGTGTCTGTCTTTTTAGTTAATTTTGAACTGAAGTGCCTTTGATGAGCTTCAGGATCTAAGAACTGCTTTCCAACTTGTGGGATCAGTCAGCAGCTGGTGTTTCCCTGATAAATGAAATGATGTGGGAAAATAACTACAATACAAACAGAAACGGACAATAAAAAACAAAAACAAAAGGTGATTGAAGAAAAAAAAAAGAGTAATTATGAAATCCTTTTAAGTTTGTCTTTTGGAACTTCTTTTAAAGAGTTCATCAGATACCCTCCACTGTCAGAAGTAATCATCTATCAAGAGAACGTTCAATGAATTTGGTTTATTTTGATTATGATTTAATATTTAAGACTTAAAGGGATATTTAGTTCATTTTGAATTGGGGCTTTGTAGAAAAGTTATAAACTGTTAATATCTACCTGTTGCCTCCCTGAACGACCTCAGTCTGGAGAGCTGAATTCTGACAGGACTGATGAGCTAATGGCTAGTCCATACACAATCAAAACCAAAGCATACATGTCAAAACCTTTGGACGTTTACCTGTATGATGAGCCAGGTGGACTGTCGGCTGCTGAGATGACCTGCAGCGCAAAGCAGGAGGAAATGAAGACAGGAGAACGTATTTTTAGTGGCAGAGGGTTGGAAGATGGTTATTTGATATTTATTGTTTTTTTTTTCATCTTACAGGCTCTGATGTTAAATAAATTTGAAACCCGAGTTTTTGAAAAAATTTGTAAAACTTAAAAAAATCCCTGAGATTGCTCTGTACGTCCGTATACCTGCAAAATGAGGAAAAATCCATGTAAATTACGGAAAATCCGTACAATTTGACRTGTATGCCAAAGTGGATTGCTGCTGGCTGTAGACAGCAGTTCTCTTTAGTCTTTAATCTGATTTAGCAGATTAAACCTTATGTTAAATACCTTATTACACCACCATAAGTTTCACATATTTTTCTTTGCAGCTGCATCTAACTCCTGCAGAAATATTATATTATATTATATNGTCTCTGGTGAACTGGAGACCTGTCCAGGTGTCCCCTGCCTTCACCCAAAGGCAGCTGGGACAGACTCCAGCCCCACCCTGACCACAGTAAAAGGCTTTAAGGCTCTTTCAGAAGACCGTACCACTAAACAGTAGGGGTGCAACGATACAGAAAATTCACAGTTTGATTTGATATTTTAATGACACGTTTCAATATTTTTTCGATACAATAAACGAGACATTTCCACATCTTCTTAACTTGTAATTCATTGAAATTAATTTTGAACATTTGTTTAACCTCAAAAGTACTGTTTTTAAATTAAATGTTGCTGAAACAGCAAGTTTCTCCGTGCATCTGCTCTCGACAATGCAGCCTAGGTGGAGTAGTCGAACACAGATCCACTGATCCTTCAACACAGAGCATCTTCAGAAGACAATCTGATAAAATAAAATTTAAATCTGTTTTGTTTGATACAAGTATGTTTTGAATCTAAAGCACTGTATTGAATGGCTTGATACAGATGTTTTTCATTTCATTTTTCATTTATTTATTTATAAACGGAACAGTGAAATTTTATTAAACATATGACAATTCACAAGTTAAAAAAAAGCCAGAATTAGCCAAATGGCTATTTTTCATCTGTAGTCCAGATAGCCTACATGTATTGTTGCACTTGCACCCTTACTAAATAGGCGAACAGCCCATTCCATGTTGACGCTCCCACTGGCAGTTCAGAAGTCCAAGACGGAGACGCCCTCTCACCAYGCTCAAACGCGCTTTCAGAGAACATTAATCAATACAGGATTAATAAAGGTGTGGAAAAAAATAAACACTGCAGATGTGTTGCTGTCACTCAGGCTGCTGCTGAGTCGCAGGACTCTTGCCCTTTATTGTAATGCAGAGACCAAAATCTGATCAAGTTCGTCTTTTAAAGGTTTACATTTCAAAATAATCTGAGTCTTATGGTTGTATCCACGTGCTGGATAATTTTAGCCGGTATTTGTGCCAAAAAAGTGTAGTTCCTCCTCTGCATGTGGAGCTCGCAGGGCTCACAAACAACAACAACAACAACAACAAATAAAAAATAAAAAACCAACAAAGTTTAAATCTGGTGTTAAAAACCCTGCAGCTGGGTGGTTCCTGAAGGTGTCAGTCAGAGTCGGCCTACCGTCTGAGGAGTCGGCGTTGTTTGGAGGTACAGAGGTGGTAGCAGGGTGTCTCTGTCTTCTGCGTGTCATCTGAACGCACCAAGGTGGCCAGAACACGTGTTAGTAACGGTACGGGGTGTCTTCTGAAAGAGCCTGTTGATACACAGATAASTTCAAAGCCCTTCAGATGCTTGTGTGCCTTCTAAACTGGTCTAACAGGYTWGAAGGCAGATCCAGAGTCACTACTTCTGTAATCTCACCACTTGTGTTTGTTTACTGTTGTTGGGTCTAATCTGTGTGGTTAGTGYTTGTCTTGCACCGTGTTGATTGTTGCTGTGTTTGCAGGCTTGTGGAGGATCAACTGTACTGTACACCCACACACTCAGACTTCCAATCTGATGGTGTTGGGAAACACAACATACACAAACTGTGCTCATTTTCCCATCAGATCTCCCCAAAGACATTAATAATAGATTTTCTGTGAGGGAAAAAAGCTTTTCACCATCTAATTATGACRAAGCCGTTATTTCTTGTTTTCAAAGAGGTTCCTTCAGAAAGTTTTCATAGGGGCCACAGTTACTTTTGGGTGGCACGCCAAAGTTGAAATTCATAACAGAGTTTGAGTTTAGAAAAATACTTCATTGTGGAAGTTAGGGACTCAGCTTCTGACATAACCTACCTTTTATTTTTTTGACAGAAAACAGCACAGTCACTGCTCATGTCATTGAAGTTTGTCATTTTAAATGTATATTATATTGTATTGTATTGTATTGTGTTGTATTATATTGTATTGTATTATATTATATTATATTTATTCTAAATTCTAAATAATGAAATAAAAAATTGATGGTGGTGCAAAGGTTTTAATATCAGCATTTTCATAAATCACTACAAAAGATGAGCTGTTTCAGGTTGACACAGTCTGGTTTGAACCTGCTCAGACTATAGCTGTSTGGCTGGTTTGACCAACTTCCAAACTGACTTTTACTTTCAATAAACAACTCCAAACTCGAAAGTTTCATTGGAGCTGATGCAAAAGCCGTCTTTATTACACAGTTATTCTGTAAGACATTAGCTGCACCAGACGTGCTACAGCTAGCTGATGCTCATATTGCTTGAAACAGCAATCAGCAATCCTTTTTKTTATTAAAGTGTTTTTTAGGCAGCATTGATCTTTTTTTTGGTGTCTCTCCTGCTTCAAAAAGTTTCAAAAGTTCAATTCAGACAGAACTGAACTCAGCTTCTCCAAACTGAGGTTTTTCAAGGAGCTATCTACAACATTTAAGATATTAACCATTCATTACCTTTACACAGGACCACACAAAGAGCTGAAGCATCCCTTACAAATTCACATCAGCTATGAGACAGCTTCACCTTTTCACACTTGAATACTGTTACATAAAAATAAACAGATCGTAGTTTTTACTTTTRCAGAGTTTCATTTTAAACATTTTTTTCCTCATTCTGCCTGTGAAGTTAAGTCACTTGTGAATATATCAAATCTGCACATTGTGCCAAACAGGATTTGGTTTGATGTTTTACCTCCAGAGTCCCTGCAAAGGATTTTTGTATTAAAGCATTTCTGTGAGCAGAACTGCACGTAGAGGAATATGTTTTGGAAAATGCTGCTGTGTCTTTGGAGTGTACTTATACAGCTCCAGTCTACCCAACCAAAGTGCTTTGTGTTTGAATGTTGGTGTAGGAGGACAGCGGTGTCTGACAGCGTGCACACTGCCCAGTCCTGGGATTATCTAACCCCACAGCATGTCGGTGCACTCTCAGACCCCTTGCAGGACAGCAGAATCTTAATCCCAAATCCTCTCTGTCTCTTTTTTTTTCTTTGCAAGACACGGTGAGCGCAGCAACTCACACTCACCTAAAACACGGACATGCATAGTGTCACATTACCCCTTCAGTCACGGTAAGAGTCAGCTCCGACGCACAAACAGCTGCGTCCTCATTTAAAACAATTCAGGGCGGGCTGTAGAATAAAAACAGACGAGTCAGAGCCGCGCGAGTCATGAGTCACTTCTTGTTTAGGCTGGCCGTCTCTATGTTGTGGCCTCCTGGGTGCAGTCTGTGGCAGCCCAGCAGGATGGAGAAGGCCCTGCGAAAATCGGCGTTGAAGGCGTAGATGATGGGGTTGAGGGAGGAGTTGGCCCAGCCGAACCACACAAACACGTCGAAGGTGGTGGGGTTGATGCAGGGGAAGGCCTCCCCGTCGCTCGGCTGCTCGCAGAAGGGCACCATGCAGTTCAGGATGAAGAACGGGAGCCAGCAGCACACGAACACCCCCATGATCACCGACAGCGTCTTCAGCACCTTGGTCTCCCTCTTGAACGTCATCTTGAAGGAGCTCTCAGACTCTGCGATGCTTGAGCCTCGGCCTAAGCTGTTGTGCCTGTTCTTGGCGCTCTCGGCGGCCCGCTCCAGGGCAGAGATCCTCCTGATTTGTCGGTGGGCGATGCGGTAGATCTGGGTGTACGTGGCGACCATGATGGCAACAGGGATGTAGAAACTGATGAGAGAGGTGGAGATGGCGTAGGTCCTGTTCAGGCTGGAGTCACAGTTCTCTGGGTCACGGTGAGATGATGTGTTTGAGTCTAGTAATGGCTCAGGGAGAGCCTTGTAAGACTTATTCTGGGCTTTGTGCCAGTTGAGCTGCACAGGGATGAAAGAAATAAGGACAGATAACGTCCAGGCCACGCTGATCATCACATAAGCCACTCTGGGTGTCATCTTCCTCTCGTAGCGGAAGGGGCTGGAGATGGCCCAGTAGCGGTCCAAGCTGATGACGCAAAGGTTGAGGATGGACGCCGTCGAGCACATGATGTCAAAAGCCACCCAGGTGTCACAGAAGGAGCCAAAGGGCCAGAAYCCCGCGATCTCCGTCACCGCCTTCCACGGCATCACCAAGACGGCGACCAGGAGGTCGCTCACGGCCAGCGAGATGACGAAAAAGTTGGTCACCTTGGAGCGCAGGTGTCGAAACTTGGTGACGGCCGCGCACACCAGCGTGTTCCCCAGCAGGGTGGTGAGGATGAGCAGTGAGAGGAAACAGCCGGTGAGGACGCGGCTCGACGGCGTCTCGTCCAAGAAGCCGCTGTCGACGACAGTGGTGAAGTTCACGGGATCCATCCCTGAACATGTGTGGGAGGATTTATGCCATTTATGCTCAAGAGTCCGGCTACATCTTACCCAAATCAAGAAGGGGACCTGTTATCCAGCCAGGCAGAATATAACGAGAAACAAAAAAAATCCATCACTGTTTTGCGATGATATTTTATGAAAGAAGAGTCATTTGACGCCCTGGGATCAACTTTTGCCCCCTGACTTTGTAAATTAGACCTGACATCATTCAAGCTGTGGCGATGGAAGTGTGAACTCTCCTCTGTCGGCTCAAACTGGAATCCTGTTTGCTTTGGTGARCAGCAGTCCTGCAGAATGAAGAAACATAAATTAGTCAACAAACACTGCAAATGCATTTTTATTTAAATGCTTGATACGTAGCTTCCTGTAGGTAATGACTGTATTTGGCCTTCGGGAGTGGATCATAATTATTATTCTCTCACGATTGTAAAATACAACAACCCTAAACATTTTATTTACTTCTATATTTTTCATCATACTCACTTCATAMAGGTGAGCTCAGCTGTCCCTTGGTTTTACGTTTGGAGAAATGTGGCTTCCAAACAAACTTCAGAGCGCATCCAGTCCTCACATCCCACAAACAAGAACCATCCTGTGTGCACATCCCTTCTGAGTGCTTATTTTTTTAAAGAGAAAGAAAGAAAGACACAGAGAGGCAGCAGAGGATGTCAGTCTCTCTCTCTCTCTCTCTCTCTCTCTCTCTCTCTCTCTCTCTCGCTCTCTCGCTCTCTCGCTCTCTCTCTCGCTGCGTCCTCCTGCAGCCACAGAGCGCGTCTGTGGCCAAATCCCCACGGCTGAGTTCCACAGGATGATGCGCTGTCCCATTCAGCAGAAAGTGGGACACGGAACGTCAGGCAGGCAACCGTGTGACCAGTCGGGTTGCTGAGACCAGCCTCTGTGTCATTCTCCAAGACAACACAGGTAAAAAAATAAAAATAAAACTGATCCCGGGCACTCCTGCCTGTGTCAGAGCTGTGGTCTTKGTTGTTTTTCTTATTAAGTGACCCAGTTGGAGAGGTGTCTTGGTTAAAGCTTCATGAAACAAAGACAGGTGTGAAAAAAAAAGGACAAGGGTCAAACTTTAAGCTCTGCAGGGCTTTGGTGACACCTAGTGGAGAAAGCAGGCAACTGCAGCACAGTGGCCCACATAAAAACTCAAATTATGGAAGGCGGGTTTTATCCCCAGCCTTGTTTGTCATGCACAGAGGCCAGCCTTAGTCACCTGAGGGATAAATCACTCGCTTCCTGTAAATGTGTCCCTTGGTAAGCTTTCGTCTTTGGAGTTCCATTAGTGCCAAAAAATACATATTTTACATACATATATTTTTTTAAATACACATTTTTGCTCCATAGTGGAGCAGGAGGATGACGGCCTGCGATTCTCTGCGTGAAAAAATGCACAGGGATGCAGAAACGGTAGCGACGTGGCAGCTGTCACCTTGAAGTGATTTGAGCTATTCTGACAGGAGGAAACAGAATTTACCCTTTTACTCTCCGCTAACATCAACTCACTTAGATGCTCTGAAGCTGTTTGACTCAGAGTGGGAAAAAAAAATGAAAAAATAAATAAATTTGTACGTCACACTGTTTATAATCTTTGCTCCTGCAGATGCTGCTATAAAACAACTCTGACAGTTACAGTGAAGCACAATGTTTGCGCGTCCAAAGGCACTTCCGTTAGCCTTTGGCCTGTCGCGGTTATTTACTCGCCTCTGAGTGCTGTCTCGCTGCAGAGACGTGACGGACAAAGCGGACGAGAAGAGAGCACAAAGGTCAGGGAGTTGAAGTGCACCCTTGGCCTATATATTTAAGATCATCTCTCTGTCACACTTCAGCCTTCCTCTCTGCTGCTGTTCCTCTCTGTTCAAAGGTGCACCAGTACCTCACCACCGAATCTAGCTTATCTTTTCAAAAAATATCACAACTGACTGATTCATGTTGCACCTTAGACACTTAGACGCGACAAATCTTTTGTTAGGCGGTTAATGTCATGACAAAACATGAGGCTTTATTTTATTTATTTTTTTGGTCTGATGTGGTCTGACAGGTAGCCAGTCACCCAGAAAACACAGAGGTGCTGTGAGTAAGATGGCTCAGAGCCAAAAGTTTCTCTAAATAGAAAATCAGCCTGACCTCTGCACAGCTGTATGTTTTCCAGAGAACGCGAATGAGTGGACAGCTCTGCACATTAACCAGCTGTGCAAATCAGTGCAGGTTCAGGCGGTCTTCGTGCGTGCATGTGTGTGTGTGCGCGCGCAAGCTTGTGAACACGTCAACTGCTACAAAAGTTAGGATACAGCTGAAGGTGGAGTGTTTTTTTTAATCATTCTGAGAATACCAGTCAGTATTTGTTTGTTTTCCAAAATCTTGCAGAATGGAATGGATTGTTCAGTATTTATGTTCCAGCAACAAATCACCCAATTCCTAAATTGTCACTTGACAGCTCTGATGATTAAAAACAGTATTAGCCACTCCATATTGTTTGGTCCTGTTTAGTTGGGTGAAATGAACTTATCTACGCGTGAATTGAAGATCCATATCAGCAAGTACTTGATGGTATTTAATCCATAGACACAAAAAAATGGTTGCATGAAGTATGTAGTGGAAACGTGAATATCTTCTCAACAAGAGACAAACTATTGTTCCTGTTAACTCCACCTTTTTCATTCTGCCTGCAACATCTCAAAGTTTAAACAATGACTTCTCCTGTTAACTCATCTGATGCTTCACCCTTAGGCCTTAGAACAAAGACTAGACTTCCTGTCTCCAGTTAATTTGTTTATCACCTCTTTCAGAAAAAGACTGGAATAAACATTGTTTGACATCAAAGGGCTCCTGATGTTAAACAAGACGAGACAGAAAACATCAAGACTCCCATCAGATTTATCTGTGGGTCAGCAACGCCACCCTGTGGACATTTTATTTTGCACCATGTTGAACTTATCTATTAACCCTGAAAACATTTTATTTTTCACCCATGTTTTCCATTTACAACTATAAAAAGCATCTGTGAAGTGTCAAAACAATACCTTGGTACTCTGATTTAATTACTGTAATAATCATGACATTGTTTAGTAACTTGATCTGTTTTGATTAATTATTACTCTGTTCTTCTGTTACATGTCCGGATAGGTCATGTGACCACCGCAGAAAGTCTTAACCAATGAGAAGTTCCGTTGTGAACAAGGAGTTTTTCATTGTTCTGCCACATGTTGAGTTCTAGAAATTTTGAGGAGAGAGTAGCTTTCAGMTCCAGCWTCCCGGGGCGAGGCCATTCGTTTTTCCAACTTTATTTCCTTTTTGTAKTTTAATCTGAAGGTGCTTTTCAGGAAGGAGATTGATTGAAACGATGAGGCTGATTTAATTCAAGTCGGACGACCACCAGTGTGCCCGCAAGGAACGTAGCCGCCGCGGTGCGCTGGACATCTCCAGTGAATGCAAACCGACAATCCAGATGACCAGGGAGCTTCTGAACAGCTAAGTCACAGACTCGGTTGGACTTCACGTGCCAGCCCAATTAGCATAGAAGTATCCATTCTGGAGTCTACAAACTTTGCCGGTAGGAAATATCTTGCTTAATTAATCTGATGGTGTGTTCAAAGACTTAAATCAGATCAGAGTATATCAATTTTCATTCTTCTTCCCCTGAGCGTCCTCTTTGTTTGCTGTAGGCTCAGCAATAGCAAGTTAGTGTTTCACTGACATATGTGTAGAAAGTTGTTCACATGGTAGCCATGTCAGACTACTTAACGCCACTCCTTGATCAAGTTTACGGAACTGATTATAAAGTGTGTTTTTGTCTGAAAAATGATTTGTAATGCATATATTTCCCTCTGAACCTCATTTTAAATAATACATGGATGAATTTCCAAATGTGATTTGTCTCCGTCAGTGTATTTCCTTGTCTCACGCCGTCATTAAACTGAAAGAATTAAACGCCTTCGTATTTAGAAATTGAATTTTTAAGAGAAAAGTTTTTCTGAAGTTTTACTACAAAAAACTTTAATGGTGCCCCCGTAAGGTGAAATTAAACATTTCATACAGAGTTTGTTTAATTTTAGCGTTTCAAACCCCCACAAGTACAAGATGATAAGATGGCATGGTAGAAAAACTGTTTGCCTTCACACCCAACAAGCCAACAGRTGTCTTCAATGAAGGTGTGGTACTTATAACAGTGCCATCTCCTGGCAAACAAAAAGTAACACTAGCCACAAAATGTCAAACAAAAATACACATAAGGCAAATAAGACTATTTGGCCCATACACATACACTGCACTTCTTTTTTCTTATGTGGTTGAGTCCTGAAAGTAAATTYTGATGACCCTCTGTCCAGCTCCAGGACAGGGCTAGTCAGTGGCGACCCATGGGCCACTTCTGGTCTACACGTGACTTCAGTCCGGCCTGTCAWTGAGTTCATTTTAAAACAAAATTTAACCACAATGACAATCCTGTTATATCGATGATATATGACAGGGCAATACAGCTCAGTCTGCCTGCCAGTGACTTCATRGAATATAAGAAACAATTTTAAATAATAAAAAAAGATTGATTTGAATCAGAAAAACAAATGAAAGTAGACAATTTAACTGCTGGATGTCTGACCACTGAGCCATTTAATTGGATAGCCCTGACTTAAAGGGATGGTGAGATGTACCCCAGAGAGGATACAGAATTGTTCCAGAGAGTTCTGGGTCTACAGTAGGGTCCACTTTTAGTGGGACGTGCCCAGAAAATCTCCAGAGCAASGTGTCCCAGAGACAACCTAATCAGAGTCCTGAACCACCTCAACTGACTTTTTTCAACTCTGAGGAGCAGTSACTCTGAATTCCCCCCAGATGACAGCCCTCCTCAGCCCACCCACCTTATCAAGAAATGACCGATCCAGATGGGCCATTCAATCGTCTCAGCTCCTTCTGTACAGACTCATCAGTGTAGATTAAGCATTGATCTGCTTCCTCCTCCACCTAACCGCCACTCTAACAAAATATATTTGAACTTCTGACTGCAAAAACTCATGCCTGGCCTGGAGCATCCCACATTTTTCTACCTGAGAACCATGTGCTCAGACGTAAAGAAGCTGAATTTTTGYTGCTATTCACCTTCGGCTGTGAAGCACCCCAGGACACGATGAAGATAATGGCCTGAAGATGCTGACAGAACCACAGCATCTGCATAGAGGCAAGACCCTCCCTTCCATGACGATGCCTTTAGACCCTGTAAACGGGATCAGAGACAAGCGAATGTCCTCACAGGCCTGCACCAGGAACAAGCAGGGCCACAATGTGTCAACTGACTGATCTATAATAATAAA